CCTACATAGTCACTTCAAGAAGCATAAATGCAAATTGCTCACATTTGCTGGCAGGCGTGGGTTAACAGCACATTCGAATAATATGCTGCTTGCGAAAACCCACGCGACCTTTTACATACGTGTGACCAGGTAGGTAGGTAGGTAGGTAGGTAGGTAGGGTAGGGTAGGGTAGGGTAGGGTGGTAGGTAGGTAGGTAGGTAGGTAGGTAGGTAGGTAGGTAGGATGTATGTATGTATGTATGCATGCATGCATGCATGCATGGATGTATGTATGTATGTATGTATGTATGTACGTGTGTACGTAGGTACGTAGGTATGTATGTATGTATGCATGTATGCATGTATGCATGTATCTGTGTATGTGTATGTGTATGAATGTGCGTGTATGTGCATGTGTATATATATATATATGTAGATACATATATATATATATACATATGAGCATCCGTCACAACTTCCGTAATTGTAGTTAAGACTAGGGTGACCGTGGAATGCCGGATTTAGCTAATTTCCTTGTGACATGTCAGTGCTGCCGCGGCATGTATGCCATAATTTTCCGTGTGATATGTGATTAGGCAATCGATACCGTAATCGATACCCAATCGATACCCGAATCGAAACCCACTAGTTCGTTTCGTGACCCACTGCCCGTTCTGATGGAAAAAGGGTAGTATAGGGCAGGTAAAGGGCAGCAAAGGCCAGTAAAGGGCAGGAAAAGGGCAGTAAAGGGGCAGCACAGGGCAGTAAAGGGGCAGGTAAAGGGCAGCAAAGGGCAGGGCAGGCTACGAGTAGGATCAGCGAGTCTGATGGTCTTCTTACTTTCACAAGAGCAAAGCGATACCTCACAGAAACATGTGGCGAAATCCTTGTAAAGCGATAGGACCCCCCCAAATCATCCATGGTCTGGCCATGAATAAGAAGTTTTGACGAACGCTCATACATACATATATATATATATACATACACGTACACATACACAAATGTATCTTTGTCTTTCTCTTTCCAGAAGCTCGGAAGCTCTTCTCGCGGCTACCAGAAATGCCCCCAGTGGAAGTTCATACCCTCGGCTTGCGCTTGCCCGATTGGTCGGAGCAGCGTCTGGCCACTCGCTGATGGCATCTGCGCAGTCTTTGTTGCCAATGTTGAGAAAAATGCAGCTTCCAGTATGTAGAATGTAAATTTGTGTGCAGCAATATGCAGCATGCATGCGTTGCTCACTGTAGACTGTACAAGCTGCGACGCAACACAGCAGCAAAGCTGCTTTGCCGGCACTGATATCATGGAAATAAGACAGCAGCCCAACAAATAAACATTCTCCTTTCCTGTGATGGCGGCTGCCCTTCGCACCATCCGCCGGTATGCGCTGCCTGCAACAGGCTTGTTGGGGGCTGCGTGGGCCACTGACGACGCCCGGTTGTCACCGTGAGAAAGTTCGACATTGTTAATTACGTTGGCTAGAGCCTTGCACATAGCGCAATCGATCTTTGTTAAATGAGCTGTTAAATGCAACCGCCGGATGGTATCATGGTCATGGTCCGGGGACAAATGCGAATCTGAGACATGGGTTTCAGCTGCTCAGTTCTGAATTTCCACGCAAGTGCACTAAGGAGTTCTGCCTCCACCAAGTGGGCCAGCGAACTGCACGAACAGTGCAGACAGGGGTGTATTTGCTGTGGCAGCGCCATGGCATGATGCTTTGGGATGCTTCGGGTTCTAGATTCTGGCGAGAGACTTTTGGGCCCGTATACGTACCACCGTTTTGCCTTCTGGCACTGCGACGGCCTGCTTTGTGACCTTTTCGAAAGCTTTCGTCTCTAACGCAACTGATTGGATCTTCCAACTGCGCACGCCCCCACCGAGGTACAAGGTCTGCTGGACACCTGAGACTTCCAACGACATACATGCCAAGGTTGCCAAACGCCTGGTGGAATGCCTACGCCGCAACGAAGGCCTGTACGTCAAGTTTGGCCAGGCAATGTCAACTATGGACGGTGCCTTAGTTGCCCGCCCAGCTTTCAATCACATCGACTCTCGCAGAGGGGTTCGTCAACAATGCCATGCGACACGCATCTTCCTGCTCAGGACGTTATTCTGCCGGAGGAATACAAATCCGAGCTGAAGACTTTGCATGACCAAGCCGCGACTTTTGAGTTCAAAGAAGTCCGGAGAGTTGTTGAGTCGCAGCTGGGCCAAAGCTTGAGCGAGGTGTTCTCGGAATTCGAGGAGACTCCCATTGCTTCTGCCAGCATTGCGCAAGTGCACCGTGCACAACTGCGGCCAGAGTTTGCAGAGGGGCATGAAGGCAACGACTCCTTGGCTGTGGCAGTCAAAATCCAGACGCTCAGCGCATTGTTCGGTGCAAGAGGCATCACAGTTCCAGGAAGTGGTGCTTCGTAGGTGTCGTCTTCCAACTAGCACATAGCTCAAGGTGCCCGTGCTACCAGTATCATCTTTAGAACAGACACCAAGGAAGCCGAACATCCCGGCCCAGAATAGATGTGACCTTGCGGTGTACAAGCTCGTACTGACCGTCTTGGAGTATGCCTTCGATTTGCCAATGGTCTTGGTCTTAGCATGGCACACCAGAATGGGCTCCCAAGGATGTCTCAAATCTACATTCAAGCCGACATCCACGCCAATGCCAACAGCTCTGCGATGTTTGGTCGGACCATTGGACATGCGATCCCTTGTGATCCTAAGGTTTGGACATATGGCTACACGCGCCAGCAATTGGAAGCAGAGCTCGACTTCCGCATAGAGGCCATGGGCCAGTAATCACAAACTAACAGGCACCGAGTGTGGCGTTTCCAGGTGACAGTAGGAACATGACATGGCGCGTAGTATTGACAGCGGCAGTTACCGTTGTACCCCATTGGCCGAATCATGAGGCAGTAAGTTTGTCCGGTTTCGGCCCATAGTGCGGTCTTCATGCCTCGCATGACTGATGCCATAGCACATGCCGTGGGGTGAACCACGCCGACCTGCAGAAAATGTGGGAAAGTGCGGCCTGGGTTTGCAACAGACAGCTTTGGGGAGCAACGCCAGCTCAAGAGGAGCGAGCGAAAGTTAAGTTAGAAGCTTCTGATAGCTTCTGGAAAATTCTGGAAAATCAAAGTGGCAATTGGTCGTTACAAGCCGTTACGGGTTCGCCATGTCGAAAGAAGCTCGGTCAGTACAGTCTACGATTCTACAGGCACATCCAACTAGCTTCCCAGATGCTGCATGCAGGGCATCAGGAGCTCAGAAGCTTGCTGGGCATGACCCGCCTTGTTCTGTTCACTTTGGTAGGCCACCGAGGCATGCTTTGGGGAGAGCGGTTCCGCAGCAAAGCAGATGCATGGCAGATGTTCACTGCTCGGATGCAGGCACGCCATGCCCGCCAGGCAGCTGAAGAGCTGGCCCCTTGGCCGGACAGCAGAATCCCAAAACCCTAAACCCTCTGCCCTAAACCCTAAGAATAAAGAATCATAGGGATAAGTTGGGGTGCAGACTTAGCAGCAACTCTTCAAGATGGCCGTCTTGGCGTAACCTTGACACCCAGGAAAGGTTGTCATTGCCACAGGCCCTCGCTGGTGTTTCCACCTGCTACTGTACTGTAGTGAACCCCTGAGCTCAAAGCCGTCAGCTTGCAACAAGGAGCGCCGAAACGGTGATGCGAAGGTTGAAGGGTGGATTTGCCGACCTGTCGCAACTGTAATCCCAAAGCTTCCTCGCAGAACAGATGCCTTCCTGAAAGTATGCTTAAAATGCATGCGACTGGTTCATGTTCATTCCCACTGTCTTCGACATTAAGGACGCGTGCAGTCAATTCCGTGGAAAAGTCATCGTGCCAGCTGTTCAGGGGCATCTCGCCATCAATTCATCGTGGCATGCGGAGAGGGTGCTTTGAATCTCCCAACCAAGGAAGGTTTCGGGAGAACACGTACTGGTCATGGAGTGGGTGGACTCCTTGGGCCCTGCCAGCGATAGCAATGCCTTGAAGAAAGCGGGGCTTAGGCCCGTAGATGTGATGCGGACGGCAACTGAAGCCTTGGAGCTCATCTTAAGGAAGTTTTCATCAACCCACTGTCTTCCTTTTCCGATGAATTCTGATCTCGTGCTCTGTGTTTCGGGCTCTCCGAAGCACAAGGTCTTTGGGTATCAGATCTTCAGCACGGGCCACGTGCACTGCGATCCCCACCCCGGAAACTTGTTGGTGCGCTTGGCTCCTGCAGAAAGCTCTGAGAAATGGCAACTGGTCCTTCTAGATCATGGCCTCTACTGCGAATTGAACCCGGCTTTGCGTGCCTTGGACTTGTGGTGGTCATTTCGGACAAGTTTGTACCAGTCGGAACAATCGGAACGGCAAGCTCCTGCCGCATCTGAGCAACAAAGGCCGTGACTACGCAGACTTTTGGGTGGCAGCTGCTTTGGGGGACACCGCATCCACGGTCCGAATCTGCAGTCAGTGGGGCATTGCTGATCAAGATGCTGCAGAGCTCTTTGCTTCATTGACTCAGTTCCGACGGGTGCGCTTGGGGGCCCAAAGACTAGATGCCATGGCCTCCCTTTTTGGGTCGCGGGGCAACAAGAAGGCTGATGTGATGCCACATGCCCCGAAGAAGCTCACTGCGAAAGCAATGGCCGAAGCTCAGCAGAAGCTGAAGGCTCGTGCGAAGAAGGTTCTGGGAGATACAGCCGCCTTCCCCCGTGAGCTGGGTGCTCAGACGAGTCGTGACGTGCAGCTCGGGTTGGTTGTTTTCTTGTCTAGAGTCTAGGGGAGCCTGAGGGGTTTGACTGGTGGTTTGTGCTGGCTGCCCGATCAAAACTGGATGCCTCATAGCTTCGCAGGTTATTGTTCGTCGGGCGGAGCTTGAATATGATCCGCTCCGCTAACTTTGCCCTGGGCACGGCTGTGAACCGTGTGGCCATCCTAGCAGAGTGTGCTGCAGCAGGCCGAAGTTTTCGTATTCGTATCAGTAACCTTGAGGAGAGAGTCCCGCACAGCCTTGACCACACTATACAGCTTTGCGGCAAGCTTGGAGGTGCTGCGCTCCAGGGCGGGTCCTTGGCTTCCAGGCGGATGGCCGTCTGGAAGTTTCACTTCAGCCGCTCTGCAAGCGGTTGGGCTTCGCATGAGGTGTCTATATGTCAGCAAGTGTACCCAGGAGTCCAGAGCCTCCTCTTTCTCAGCAAGCTCTTCCAGCTTTGGCAAAGTCTGAGCTCTCTTGGCCTTGCTCCAGCATTGTTGGGGCTCACGGGCCTCTTCTTGCGATTGTCGGCGGGCAGAACAGCCATTGCCTCAGCTCTCCCGCCCCAAATGTCGACCTTCTCCCGCCAATCTCCCTCCTAAACCTGAGCCCCAGACATCCCTAACGCTTCAACCCCTAAGCATCCCTAAACCATATCCTTAAACTGGCCCTAAACCCTAAACTCTCCTCTTGCCACATGAGGGTCTCTCGGACTTCCTTTTCGGCAGTCGGAAAAAGGTGTCAAAAAAAAACTCTCCTCTTGCCTGAAGTTCCCAGGAGCCAACAAAAGCCGTGGAGCCACGCGGCCTTCCCGGCCCGGAGGCCGGAGGCTGAGGCGGGGTACCGAGCTTTCTTTGCAGTCCTCCCCAAGGTAGACAAAGTATGAAATATAGGTGTGTATGTGTGTATGTGCACATATATATATAATATACACACACATACATACACACACACATACATACATACATACATAGATATAGAGACATACAGATTTAGAGATATAGATATAGGACAAGATATAATAGATATAGTCTTCTACACACCACATATACGTACGTACGTACGTACGTACTTACTTACTTACTTACTTACTTACTTACTTACTTACTTACTTACTTACTTACACACAGATATATATATATATATGTATATACAAATTCGTACAAAGTCCCAGAAAAGCCTGGTGCTGGAATAATGTGCATTTTCGTTGGCACAGGCAGATGTACGACATCAGAGAGCCTTCGAAATCGACAGCCTGATAGCTAAGAAGCAGCCATCTGGGTAGGTGTATGTGTGTGTGTGTGCATTGATAAGTACTAGTTACTAGTTATGTCCACCGATGCGCACACTTTCATGTGCGAACTTCCACGAACACAGACACATAATCATAATCGTATCATTTTCGTATTTGCCGGTACTCTGGGTAGTCCAGTCTGCCTGGACATGCTTACATGACGCACCGATGTTCTCCTGAAGTCTCGTCGTCCTATGTTGTTCTTGCTGCCGTCGGTTACTTAGGATGCTCGCGTTGCCGGACTCGAATGTCCATGCACATTTCAGTCGCAGAAGCTGCGATCATACACAACGGATGTTGTAGCTGCACGGTCGGACAGACTTCTGGTTTCGGCAAAAGGAACCAAATGTTGCTCGCACGTTTAATCTGGGTGCCGCAGGTGACCGCAGGTGAGCATGCAGCAGTTGACCTCGCGGGATTTTGCACGAGCGTGCCTGCTTGGCGTGTGATCTGTGCCGGTGAGCCGAAACAGCAATACGAGTAGCAAAAGCAGGCTATTTTCCAGTGTGACTGTGTCAACACTGCCCTTTCCCGAGTCCTGCGCTCCAGAGCTGAAAGCTCTTCTCGAGCTTCTGACTTTTCCATGTGCCCTTCGCAGCCTCAAGGGTCAAGTAGGTACACGTCAGTTGCCAGCGAAACCGGAACAAGTCAGGAGGCGAGAGTACGTACAGGGAGAGCAGGGCAAGCAGAAAATCGTTGTCCTTGCCCTGCCTGAGGCAGCCTGGTCGACTTCACAGCTTGACATGCCATGTGGGCTCGCAAACAAAAAAGGCGGCGCCTGGCAAACTTTGAGGCTGCAGTCCCTTTGTCGTGAAGGCCGAGCTCACTGAAACTCATGTTCTATCATGTTCTCCCTTTTATTCTATTTGTGACCTTGCCGCCTTTGTACAGAAGGGTGCAAGACCAGAGTCATCCAACCGTCTGCTCATGGGTGAACCATGCCTCTTTTGCTGCATAGGCAGCGCTCGAGGAGGACATGCTCAGTGCAATGGCACGCATCTGAGAGCAGGAGCACGCATGTGTGCTCGGGCAGATTCGGCTAGGAACTTAGGTGCAGGTCAGTATCGGGTGAATTGAACAGTTTTGGAATATGGCTGTGCTGCAGAGAAAGGCTCCTGCCTTTCAGAGTTCTGCGCAGAAAGACGCTTAGCCTCTCCGAGCACAACTCAGAGGATCAGGACTTGGACATGGGACTTCAGCCACAGCGGCGACGAGAGGTCACAGCACTCACGAGCGACAGTGCTATCTAGCACTAAGGTGGCTCGAATCATGGCGTGGTATCCTTCCTACGTCGTGCTCTTAGACAGTGGGGCCCTGCTCCATGCCATCCGAAGCCACCATGCTCACAAGTCTGAATGCCCAGGTCATTACATTGATCTTTCTATGCGTCGTCTTTTTCTCCTACAGTGCTTGGGACTGGACCAGCTTCTTGGTCCGATGCTCAGGTTCCTTTGCACAGTGGTTCCTTCTAGGCACCTTCCCAGCACAGGCACACGTCTTCCTAATCAGCGGCAGTTTCCAAGAACATCGAGAGGCACAGTTGATGTCAGTTGAGCATTTCTGTGTGGCGCAGCATCGGATGATGTATGTTCAGCGAGGCTGCATTTCCTTATTTGCCTTGCAGTTGGTGGTTCACTTGCCTGGCTGCCTGCCACCCAGGTCCAGCATCAGAGTAAGTAGCAAGACAGAGTGCGGGTGCTTCAATCAAGGGTGCGGGGAATGCTGTGGCTACTGGATTCCGCTGTCCCAGCTGCCCAGGCCTACACCCTGGCGTGGCTTCCCATGCACAACATCCTCAGGCTTAGCAGCGACTCCGTAATTTGGACGATGTTTGTCATGGCAACTGCCGCACGCTCCTCAGCTCTTGGTCTCGGTCAAATCGGCTCGTCCGGAGACATGATGGGCTTCGATCAGCTCTTGGCAAATACTGGACCTTCCCAGGTTGTGATCCCGTCGGTGCTCCTGGAGTGGCTTTTCTTCAAGGACATGGCCATCTTTGAGATGTTTCAGCACGGAAGCCAAGAATATCGTGCAGCAATTTCGAAACAAGCTGTTTCGGCACATGGCTTTCGAGGTACAGTTTCGCATTCTTTTACGGGCAAGCCTTGGCAGTGTGGCAGGTGGGCATGTGCAGTGCCTGTCCATCACACCTGGCGCTTTTGGGTCCTTGTGCTTTTTGGCCAGCACATGTGCAAGGTGAATCACTGCATGCTATTGCAAGTGCAGACGGCAGCACCTTCACGCCAGCTTCGAATCCTGCAGTTGGGCACTCGTTTGCAGAATGTTTTTGGCCAGGATGCTGTACGAAGCGTCCAGCCATTGTTTGATGTCTAGGATCGCATGGCACCAGGTCATACCTGTATGGGTGTAGCCACCGGATGTAGGCCACATAGCCCCGGTAGAGGGTGTGGACTTCATGGACTTGTCTCCAAAGCTTCCCGGCTCGGAGATCGGGAAGATGTGGCTGGCCCCCACTCCTCGCCAAGCGATGGTGGGAGCTACTCCCAGGGATGGCCGCAAGCTGAGCCAGAGTTGTGCGGGTGGGTTGAGGGCCTGGAATGTTCGAGAATCGAGTCGAAACCGACATATGTCGATAGATCACTTCGTGGAGCCGACGGTTGAGGTCACCATTGTGGTCTCAGCAGCAGAAGGCTTGCCTAGCGGTGCACAGATTGAGCCGCCGAAGTTCGCAGAAACTTGACTCAGAGCCCTCGATAACTGAGTTTCGAGCGGCGACACTATCCCTGTCAGTTTCACAATCGTGCTGGCTTTCTTCAGTCTTGTGCACGAGCCCTCAGAGACTTTGCAGCTGTTGTCGTCTTTCAAGGACTTGCAGAGCACGGTTTTAGACTGGCCTGATGGATCAGCCGGATTACAGTCCGGAGCCAGGGATTGGAATTGCATCCTGCAGCCAAGTGGAGTGGAGACTTGAGATGCATTAAGGCAAACTCCCGATGCGTTGCCGAAGAATGAGCTGGCGAGATCGAGGAAATCGAACAAAGGCAAGAGTCCAGCCAAGAAGACTGCAGCGTCTTGGATGCGGTAGGAGGTGGCTGACCTGTCTCTCTCATGGATGCTCTTGCATCATCCAACTCAATTGCCACTACTGGTATCGAAGGATAGATAGCACGTGAGAACCAAGCGCCAAGGCTCCAAGATACGATGCCAGAGGTCATCGCCTGCGGCTTTTAGTCCGCAAAAGCTACTGTGTTCATCTGTGTCCTTTGAGTTGCGTTGTCATGTTCGCTGTTTCCTTGCTTTGGAGGCCCAGAAGAGATGCAAAACAGAAACGTCCCGTTCCACAAGATGGCTACAATGAAGCTCCCGCCCCCGAGGCCAGTGTGGGGCCTCCGCAATCTTGCACAGCTGTGCTTTGTGAGTTTCCAGACCGATTCATGTGTTTAGGATGCCAAGCAGCCTGGACCAGAAGAAGCCACGGCGCAGGCCGGGGCGGCATCGTTTCTATTGTGCTACCACCTGCAAATAGCGTGAGCGAAGTCGATTCTGCTATTCCACGTGCACAGACGGGTTGAGAGTTGCAAGCCTGCGACTGTCATATTCATGTCATGTGTCATGGCCATTGGCACGGCGCACAGTTCACGTTTTGCGAGGTCGACAGCGATTCCCGAAATGGTCCACGACCTCCGAGGCACCGGCCGCAGCAGACATCAGCAAGTTGAGCTGCAGCGCATGCTTCCAGCATCCATCAGCCAACAACCCGACTACACGCAAGCAGCCCGGCAGGGTTTCGGCACCGCGCGCGCCGGCGGCAGGCAAGCCGGCCTCGGCCCTCCTCTCCATGGCCAGGCAGGCAGTTTTCAGGGGCCCGGTGAGAGGCTTCGTGCGAAGTTTCATGCTCCCCTGCCTGAAGAACTCCAAAGGCTGTAGGGTTTTTCCGGGCCAGCGTCCTCAAGAATTGCATGCAAGAGAGGAACAGACGGAGAGTAGGACGAAGACTGAAGATCAAGTTTCAGGTCGGCCAAGAGCTTCTCGCCTCCGAAGCGGGCGGCGAAGAACATGTCAAGTGCGAAGCTGGAGCCGCTGCAAACTGAGAAGGAGCCTTGGCTTCCCTCCTCTCTATGGGGGAACTCTGGGTTTCAACTCGCAGTTAGGAAGATTTTGATTCGGCCCTGGTCCAGGAGATGCAGCAGCTGGAGCACCCGGAGGTCCAACAGGACTCGCAGGCCTATGCTTTCTTCCATGGCACCTCAGTCGCGACAGGAGCCTTCGTTTCCGAAGCCCATGCCGAGATCCGGTTTGGGTCAGCACATGGACGTGCGTTCTCGGCCGTTCGGCTGCCAGATGTGCCATGGTTCTGCATGCTCACACTCTGCTGCGCCAAAAGAGCAACAGACTGTACTACCGAAAGCGACACTCTCTTTTGGTGCTGCAACAGGCAACAGAGCGGATCGCCGAAGGTTGTTCGTTCAAAAGAACCTGCTTCCCAGGGGAGCTGTTCGCCTCCGTCGGGCATTGGAAAAGCCTCTGCCGCCACATCAACCAAACCAAACACACCTAGTCGAAAGATACCCAGACATCCCTAGCAGATGTCTTTCTCATGGTCGAGAAACTGTTAACAAAGAACGTGGGGTGGAACACCCGGAAATGAGAGTGTGCAGGTCGGTTTCACGACCCCACCCATGTTCTTAGGCCCAACTGTACTGAGCTCTCGCTGCTAAAGAGAACAGCGACATTCAGGGTGGATCGCCCGATGCGACCATCCGGGCTTACCCGCATCTTGAGCTAGAAAAATAGCTCCCTACCGCCGAATGCCTTGAGGTATTCGTGGCCAGTAAAGGAGGGCCTGTGCTTCCAGCACTGCCCCCTGTTTGCTCCCTCAGGCGGCACCGAAGAGCTCGAGGGTTGATCAACCGGGTGATCGTCTGGTGCAGGTCGATTTACTGGCCGCCCGTCAGCGGTGGTAGATGGCGGGTGCCGAAGAGCTCGTTCTGGTAGTCGGCCGTAGGTGGAGCACCAGCTAGCTGAGGGACCTCCACAGGAGGTGTGCCAGCGGACTTCGAAGCCGTGGCCGGCTTCTTCAACCCTTGCCGACCCTTGCCTCCCGGTCCCGTTGGCTGTCGCCTGCACCTTCATTTTTGCTTGAGGATCCGCTTGCCTCAGTGTTCTCCCGGTCGCGGAATGTCGCGGAGTTGGGCGGTGCGCCGAAGGCCTTGGAGGTGTTTGCGAGGTTCTCCAAGAGGGAGCGCTGCTGAACCGCCGAAAAGCTTCATATCCTTCTCTCTAGATTCTAGATCAGCGCATTCTTGCCTGATGCGAGCAATTTCGGCCCTTTCCTCCGCCGTGAGCTCTACGTCCGAATGCACCTCTCGTCATCCACCTCAACCGGTGCTGAAGCAGCTGCCTGAGGGGGCTCGGGCGGAGCGCCAGGGTCTGATGGAACTGGGGCTTCGCTCCTCAGCAGCCGACCAGCCCGAAGCCCCATGGCATTATTGGCATGGTTAGCCTCGCCATATGAAGAGGCCAACGGCTTAGGGTGCGTCGGATCGTGGAAGATGCAGGGCAAGAGGCCCCGATTTGGACGAGGTGGCCCTTCGCCTGGCCGGAAGTGTTGGCTGAGGCTTGGATTGCGGAGCAGATCCTGGAAAGTGAAGCGAGGGCGGTACGTCCCTGTAGCCGGACTCGAAGGTGTCCGATCATCTTGCGGCTCCGGGTAGTTCGCGGAGAGGTGCATTAAAGACCACCCCTACCTTGCCCCAAGATTGTAGTCCACATAGAGCTCGTGGGGACATCACCAGGTACTGAAACATAGACCATGTAAAATCAGCCTGGCGGTAGATTGGTCAATATCCCTGGTGGTGAACCAAACAAGCTCCCCACTTATCCACGAAGTAGAGAGCCCAACCACCATCGGTCCCAAGTCGGAAAAGAAAGCACAGTTTGTCCACCCGAAGAGAACTTTGAAGTTCCGCTCTCCCCACCAAACTATGAACCGGTTGTGAGGGCTCGGTGAGGTTCCCCGAGGACGAAGTCTACCAGGGTAGCCAGCTCTCAACGAGAGTCGCGGCCACGAAACAGTGGCCAGCAAGGGCTACCGAAGAGCGAAGCATTATGGCACAGTCCCTGATACCAAACCTGCACTGAGCCGAAAGTTCTTGAGACAAAAACATTCGCTCAACTCACTCGCAGAGCTTTATGTTATGGCTAGCCAGCAATTGCTTCAACCTGTTGCTTTGTTATGGCCCGGAATCGAACATTGCGCTGTCACATACTAGTTGCTCGGAGCGAATGTTTCCGTGCATGTCCCTTAAAGATCCCAAATGGACATGCGCACCAGGGTGCATGGATCGGGTTCGCGTACGGTTTTTCGGTTTACAGTGTTCTTCCCGTTCCGTGTTTTAACCTGGCGCTAGTGGTCACGGGGATGCTGACAACAGCCGTGACTGTGACTGTAGTCACGACGAGGAGGTGTCAGACACAAGAAAGACAAGACGATGACAATAGTCAGCTATGCAGGATGAGCATTGCTTGATAGTTGCTTGCCAGAATGCAAAGGCCCCCAAGCCACTCGAGCCTCGGCAGCGGCTTGGCCCGAGCGGCCTCGGCAGTGTCCGTGGGACCCCTCCGCGACTTGGCCAAGCACTGGCAAAACTTGTGGCTCCCCTGGTTTGAATCTTCGACCTCATTGTGGGGCACACTGTTGGGCGTGATGCATAGCTTCGCCAGGCTCAGTGACATATTTAGACTGCTGTGTGGTGGATTTGGGTTTTTGAGGTCGTGTGAACTTTGTCGCTCGACCCCTCCCACCCGAAATCCAAATTTCACAGCTTCACTTTGTGATCAGTGCCTGCGTGACTTTGCGTCCTGTCATGCCATCATGGATCCTTTGGCCAGTGTGTTCAGGACGAGACATTCCGGTGCCCACGGCCCTGCACCCTGCAAGCTTCCAGCGACGCGCGCGGCACATGGACGCCGTATTGGATCTGAGGGACCTTCAGGCAACTCGGCATTGCGATGATTACTTTGATGGCGGTGCTGCTTCTTTTTCCTTGTGATTGACATGGCTGCGCGTTGGATATGCATGCTGTGAAAGTGGGTGGTGAAGAGGAAAAATCTTGTCACAAACGCGATTGAACCAGATGGAGCAAAAGCCGCACATGCGCTGGAAGCCGAAAGGTACAACAAAGCTACGGAACCAAAGACTCACAGAAAGCAGAGCCAAACGCATCAAATTCGAAACTCCCCAATAGTCAAACAACTCGAAACCAAATAAACAAACAGTCTGAGCCTACATTCTTGCCTCCCTGAGACGAACCGTTTCTATACCCCTGTGTCTTCATCCCGGGTCATCCTTTGTAGTATACATTTGGGCACATTTGGGAGGCAGGATGTCGGTTTCCCCAGCTTTTGCAGGAGAAAATCCGCAACCCGAACTTCAGCGAGGACACGTTTGAGCTTGTTGCGAGGTTGTGCCATCCCTGGAGCAGGCTGGTGGCATTTTGGTTTGCCTCGGCGCAATGTAGCAAAAAAACTGAAGTTTGGAGATTTGAGGAGTGTTTAGAGTGCAATACAGGATGACCTGGCACCAGCACCTTGCTTCGTTCTGCCACGAGTTTGTCGAAACACTTGCAACCTCAAAGCTCAGAGCCAACTCGAAAATGTTGCAGGACAAGAAATTTCAAGTTGCCGATCTCGCAATGCGCGATTTGCGTCTCTTGGGTTGCACCAAGATAGCGTGCATGCTTGCGCTTGGCTCTGCCCTTCCTCTCTGAGGTGCTGACCTCAGTACCATGTTGAGGAGGCTGGGCCAGCCTGTGCTCAGCCAGAGCGTGGGATAAACCACCCAAAAATTCTGTGCAGGTCATTCTGCAGGCTGATTCATCTGACTCTTTGAAGCTGACGAAAGCTGTGCTGCTTTTGAAGCCCTTCTGCGTAGGTCTGCTGCAAAAGCCCACTCTTTGGATCAGCCTCTCTCAGCTCCCAGATCAGTGGATGATGTGCCGCTTGCTTTGTTTTGCTGTGTGGCCAAAGACTAGGGCAGCAGCTAGATGCGAAAGGCTCTGTACCAATCCTCGCCTATGCTCGCCGATGCGAGGTTTGCCAGCCAAGTTGCCAAGTTCCAAGAACCGCTCGCGACGAAACGTGCAGCACAACCTGTACTCCGGGAGATCGACTCCAGAGCCGCTTCTGTGCAAGAGGATGATGCGGAGGCGAGGACACAACTGAAAGCGACCTTCGGTTTTTTGATGCTTTGGCAGGCTTCTTTTGGGGAGGAGCCCCCAGCTATGGCTGATGCTGCTGCTGCAGGTTCTGGGGTGCTTGTCTACGGGCCGAGGTAGTGCTTGTTTGTGGTTTCCAGCAGTCTTGAAGCTCACGCCATAGGTGGAGTGAGGCATCTATCACAGTCAGAGAGAGAAAGCTGATCCAGTTCAGGCACCATGGCTTCCATGGCCCTTGGACCTGCTTCGCCAGCTGCTTCAGAGCTGATGTCACCTCTCGCAGACAAGCAGAAGGCCGTGCTGGCCGCATTCAAAAACCTAGCGCTGCCCTGGTCCAAAAACGAACGGCACCGCAGCTGAAACGCTGGGAATGGTTTCCGGACGCGGATCTGTTACCCAAACGATGACCGTAGTATTGTCAGTATGCATAGGAGAAATCCTGGCAGAAATGCGTGAATGATATTTCGGGTGTGCTGCGACTGTGTAGTTCCTTCTTTCTGACTCTGGTCTCCTTGTTCTTCTCTTCGTCTCTCCCTCTCCCTCTCTCTCTCTCTGTCTCTCTGGCGTGCCCCACTAGCACAGCCACTCAGGCCACAGGTACTTAGCATTTTGGGCCGAAAGGAGCAGTTACGGTCTCACAAACTCGCTCTTCTGCTTGCCTTGCAGATGAAGTCAGCTTTGCGGCGGAACTCTCGTGGCAGCGCTCGTCAGGGCCTGAGTTTCTCTGAGCCCAGGCTGAAGATTCGGCTTGACCATGGCTTGTGACAGAATCAGAAGCGACTGACTGTGTTCACGAGTCATTGCACGCGACACCTTCGATGATGATCTGCTGAGGTGTGAGCTGGGAGCAGTTCCCATCCGAGGAGACAGTGACTGTGCTTCCTCTTTCGAAAAGAGATGAGAACGTTCGACGATCTTTTGCTCATCTTTAAGGCGAATCGCTGATGGTAGATTTGGTAGACCTGCAGTCACTCGCTTGTACGTGCACCCTGGGCAGGACGTCTCCGATGCAGGCTGGTTGGCCGGCTACATCGAATTGCATGTCCAACGAAAATTCAGCGTGGCTTCTAGGAGTACTTCTTCGCGCAGCTTGTTGGCTTGTTAACCCTATCTCTTCGATGCCAGGCCTGGGCAGCCTTCCACTGGGTCGCTTACCCTTGGGAGCAGCAGCTTCCAGCTCGATGGGCGGCGGCCGCGATTCCCTGCAAAAGTCGATCATGACCGAGGGAATTTGCACCCATGTTAACACGTAGGGAGACTTGTTGCCCGGACTTCTGCCCGGAGAGTGGAGCCGACTAAGTTTTCGTGGGATTTTTTGAAGTCGGGAACGCTGTAGAACGGCTTTATCATGATCATTGCCATGCTCCACATCACCGTCATGACCGCCCCCATGCGATGTTCATGGTCATGGCAATGCAGTGGTGGTCGTAGTTGTCGTCGGCATTGTCATCGTCTTGGTACTCGTCGCAGTCGCTGGTACCACTTGCAAAGCTGAAATCACAGCAGCAGTGGACGTGCGAGAGGAGCCGGCAAGGATCGACGATTTCGATGGCAGGCAGGCTGGCACCAATCATTGCGACAATCAACATCATCGGCATGTTCATCATCGACGTTGCAACGAGAATTCCGCAGTCGTAGTCGCAGTCGTCGTATTCGCGGTAGCAGTCGTAGCAGCATCGTGGTGGTGGTCGTGGTCGTGGTCGTGGTCGTGGTCGTGGTCGTCGTGGTGGTGGTGGTGGTGGTGGTAGTTGTTCTTGTGGCATTAGTGGTAGTAGTGGTTGTAGCAGCGGAGGTGGTTGGTGCTTTTGGTGGCGCTGGTGCTGGTCGGAGTGGTGCTGGTGGTAGTAGCAGCAGCGGCAGCAGTAGCAGGAGCAGCAGAAGTTGTTGCAGCAGCAGAGGTCGCGCTACCAGAAGTGTGGCCGTCATGGTGGTAGCAGCAGCGTGACATGACAAGGGGATGCAAGCATTGGCACGGCTTAGCTTTGTGCTTTCAAAGTGTTAAGCATCCCGAGCATGCGACAGGTGAAATCAGCTTGTCCGGGGATATGATGCACAGAGTCTCCAGCGCCATGACGCAGAAAGGCCTTGTGGGCTGGGATGGTGAGCACAATCCTTCTTGCATTTGGGTTTCCCATTCCAGCAGCAGCAGCAGCAAGCTGGCAATCGCTCAGTCGGGCCCCTCAGCGAAAGCTGTGCAATAATGACGCCTTTCCCATCTCAACTCGCGAGGACAGACGACTGGATTGAAGGAGCCTCGTGCTGCATGTGAAGTTGATATCACAACAGGTTGTCCATTATCAGTGATGAAACATCTTTCCCGTGTCCTTTCGCTTCGGCAGAACTAGCTGAGCCAGCCAGGCGACATAGGGCCAGCACACTTATCCGGACTCCAGACTAAGACCTGTGTGTCGGTCAGCGGTGAAGCGCACAGAAGCCATCAGAAATTGCACGTACAATCGATAGCTCATTACGAAGACGTTTCTGAGCTGCGAAATGCCCCGGCGCCAGGGATGTTTTTTTGGGATTCGCCGTTCAAAGTACACATGCATGCACCATGAATCTTCGGAATCGCACCGTCTTCATCCCAAGATAAGTATCCCAAGCTTTGTAATCGCGTCGAAGCTGAGAACATCAAGCAAAGCTTCGAGCCCACTTTGCGTAAGCGGCTTGGCGAAGCTTTCTCTCGCCCGGTCCTGAGCTGCCTTGAAACGCAATCGCATGTGTAGCTGAGCGCATGCCAAGTGATGGCCAGCTGCAACAACAGCTACCCACAGACGTTATGTGACGACTCGTCGAAAGTATGGAGAAGACCGCCGTGTTGCGCATGCCTGGGTGGGGCCACCTCAGGTCTGAGCGAAGCAAACGAGCTTCACCGGGATTCGATGCACAAAGCGGTTGAGTTTGCAGGATGGACGGTCACAGCCGCACCTTGCTGACGATTGTGGCGGGGATTTTCTGGTGAGATTGCTTACAGAACAGGTGTTGCCAGCAGACGCGCCCAGATGTTGGAACGTACTCTCATACTTCTGTGGTTAGTCCGCCTCGGGTCCCGCATGATGGCAAATGCCACGTCTGGCCATGAGGAAGTCAAAGCGCTGATAAACGAGGCTTATGACAGCCTTTTCAAGCAACGTGGCCGCAAAGGGTGTCGGTTTCACGGGGACAGCCAGGGCTAAGCGCATTTTTGTTGGTTCTTCTATGCAGGCAGCGATGCTTGGCTTCCAGGTACAATACCCTGAATCAGCGGGAGTTCTTTCACTTCTTCGAGAAGTTTCGGCATCTGGAGAAGCAGCGTGCTTTTGAGCCCAGGATGCTTTCAGCTTGCATGGCCCTGCCTATCTAGAACACGTCTCGCCACCCGCGTCTCCATCTTTTTGTGTTGTGCATTCCGGAAGGCTTTCCGGTTGGAGACTGCTTCTTGTGATGAGGTCATCCTCGAGCCAATACCACGCTCGTTTACCGGCAATTGACTTCCATGCCCGAAGAAGCGAATGCAGTCGTATGCATAGCCGTCGTGGAATTGAAAATGCCGACACGTCGGCGAACCCAAACCCAAACACGTGCGCACACAATCAGCCCAGCAAAGCGTCAGCGACGGCGGGACGATGTGAGAAATGTCTCACTGTAAGACTGTAAGTACATACTTGCGATTTAAGGCAGCTTCGCGTCTACAGAGTCCAATCTGTACAGTTTCTGTATCCTGTATCTTTAGAGTGCACTTGTGAACATTAGGGATCTGTGTGACCGATGAATGCGGTCACTTGTCGGAGAAAGTCTTTGTTCAGGAAGCCTTCAACACCTTTGATGCAGATGCGAGCGGAACGATTGACTTCGAAGAGCTTGGCGCACTGCTGGAGTCGCAGGCAAGAGCAGCTCTCGGACTTTTGTTCAAGCTGGCCTTAGCAGCAAGAGCTCTGCACACCAGCACTAACAGCACTTGTGGGCCATCTTTGACTTCATTTGACTTCCTTCTTCCATGCTGCAGGGTATCTTCCCTTTACAGCATGTCATCTACGAGCTGGCAATGGCGGCGGCCCCAGTGGTCAACAAAGCTGCAACAATGTTGCGGACTGGGACAGCAGGGACCGTGTGAATGAAGGCCCAGCAGCAGAGGAGGAGATAACAGCCAACAAAGACACGCACAAACATGCTGCACTAGGATGGCTTCAGAGGGGGCAGAAGGGACGAGGCTTGCATTGCGGTGTGCCGCACGTAGGTTGTAGTCGCAGCCTAGGCATGTCTTCAGTTCATGAGCTTCTTTTGAGGGCGGATGGCCTTCAGACTTGGCTCGTAACAGCCCCAGACGGATCAACTTGAGCATGAACCCGTGCAAGAGGGGCTTGTTGCAGACCACCAAGACAAGCAAGTTGGCCAGGACCATCAACCCCAGCATAAGAAGCGATCAGCTAGCTCCTTTTCTCGCACGGCATCCTTGCGGTGGCAAAACTTTTATCTTCCAAGGATGCCTGCGATGGCAATCTGGTTGATGGCCTAGACTTTTCCGAATTTCAGCGGGCCGGGCCCTTAACCAGTCCGAAGACATACAGATTGATGCATGCTAGCCCTGCTCGTTGCGGGAGGTGCTCGAGATTCTTCGCGAGCGTGAAGGCTTCACACGCGAGGCAGTCGGCGAATCATCCATGGTTATCATCGCCATCGCCATCATGATGAATCAAATTGTGGTAGGACTGGTAGGATGCTGTACGCAGAATGGAGAGATGAGCAATCTGACTGCACTTACCCAGATCCCGTTTCGGCTAACCACCGGAAATCTTCACGTTGCAAGTTGCAGATGAGGCAGCCGATCGATGCTTGCAGTGTTGTCCGTCTTGTCTTCCGGCTGACAGGAGATTGAACGCATCGAAGATGCTTTCGACAAGTGCGACGCCGATGGCAGCGGACACCCGCCAAGAGTCCGGATTCTGTAAGTGATGAAATCATGAAGTAACAACGCATGTAGGGCATGCTATCCTCAGAATGTATCAAGAGCATTCTTAGAAGTCGCATTGCGAAGGGTCCCACAAGGATCGCTGGACCTCCTGGAAATCAGCCGCGTCCTCGCTATCCTGGGTTACTCCCGGGACATGAAGTACCAGGACCTGCTGGCAGAGGCCAATTTTTAAGTGACTGCTGCGGGACATGTCTAAGGTCAGCTTCGGGTTAGTGCAGCACACTCGTTGTAATCCGCTTGTAGGTCAATTGACCCCTTTCCCAAGTTCGCCTTTTGCGTCCTGTCGGCGGCTCAGGTGGATGCGGAGAAGACGAATCAGCTGAGCAAGCGGGACTTCACGGTCGCTTGCACAAAATGGCTTAGGATTCTGGTGCTGCATGGTACCAGACTTTCCTGCGCGCATCTCTCTTGTGACATGTCCTGTCTCATTCCTGCAGTCGAGGTGTTCATGCGAAAGATCCAAGAGCGGAACACAAAGTTGATAAAGGATTATTTCAGGCCTCTCTTCTGGCGAAACGGCTGCGGACTTGTGTTTTTGATCGGGCTTGGGCACAGATGTTGACCCTTGTTCCTTGCCGAGATTCTCAGCATTTTGTCTATCGTCAAGAATCACTTGCCTTGCTTTGTTATCCTGGCATGTCAGGGAGTGCGACACAGACGGTGAGCCTGGTCTGGATGCGCGAGAAATTGCGTTGCTGCTTCAATCCCTCGGATACCTACCCGACATGGCATGCATCTCGTTTGCAAGCGGGCGGGGGGGGGGGGGGGGGGTTGAGGTTTGATCTGTCGTACCTCCTTATGCGCAGCCAACGAAATGGTAGCACAGGGCCAGGGTTGTCTTAGGGCAGAGCCCTTCTTGAACTGTTTAGCGCTTAGGCGCCTTGAAGTTCAGGTCGCGCCACTGTCCTCTCAATTCCCGTCGCCGTATTTTTTGATTTAAATTAGAACTATCCGACCCTGACGGCGCTGCTCAAGGTTTCACTTGGTTGGACCGGAGATGTTAAAGATGAAAGCCTCGGCAAGAGCTTTAAAGCAGAGCCCCTGTGTCCTGCGTTGAGGCATTGTTGAGACGATGCTGCAGTTGGGAGTGGACGACCCTGAAGAGGCGGTGCCCCCACTTGGCACGGGCTGATGCCAGCAATCACAGCATGTGCATGAGGACTTGGATTTCTCACAAGTGTGGCGCTTCCTCGAGATCTATCGCCGACAGCACGGTTCCTTGCCACCGATGGCTTTGAGCGGAGTTTCGCCATCATTTTTCGCAGTCTTCATCGTGGCTCGTAGAATGAATTGAATAAATTGTGAGCAGCCCAGACCTCCAGACACCTCTGTAGCCTCGTGACCAGGAGAAAGAGTAGTGTGTGGGCGCATGGTGGTGAGCAGTGGGCTGGCTAGTGCTTTGTGCACCGAACTCCCTTTTGTGCCTGCCCTAGGCCTCACCCTTGGCACAATCACTGAAGCATTGGACCTCTTCAAAAGGCAGGGTCTGCGGTGCTTCTGCCTGCGAAGTGCTTGAAAAAAGTCTGCTGGAAGTAGCGCGAGTCACGAGCCATGTTCCACGGCGACTGAGAAGCTACGATGCACGACGAAGTGCGCAATGAAGAATGATAGCTGTCCCACCTGAAGACCGGAGATTTGTGACGAGTAACTATCAGACTTGAGCTACCATGTCAGGGGCTGTATAGATCACACCGGAGCCCCGCAGCAAAACAACATATCACATGATGCGCTGTTGCAGGTTCACGTCAGACGACACGATCAGCGTGGATTGCTTGCTCAAAATGGTGAGAACGATGGGGTTCGATCTCCACTACCACGAGGTCCGCAGACTCATGTACCTGGTTGAGTCAAGCGAGACCAGCGTCATGAATGATCCTCGTACAGCAGCAAGAAGGATAGAAGTAGCTGCTTCACATCCTCGCACGGGCCCAAGCCCTCATTTCCTGATTTGGCCTGGTGCCAAGGAGAAGGAGTTCGTGATGGTGCTCGGACATTTGCGTGACAGGGAACTGCGACAGATGTGGAAGGTGGTTAGTGACCAAGAGTCAGCCAGCACAAGCCCGGCCGCAGCGGAGCTGAAGCATCGGCTCCACTGGCGGCATTGATAGGCTCTGCTGTGCTAACATGGTCAGCTGTGGAGACAGATCGCCTCACCTCGCAAGACTAGGTTCAAAACCGAGATGTTGGGCATCGCGGACGACAATGAGGAGCCGCGTCGCAAGAAGGTGACCTTCATGGAGTTCATCCCATCGGCTACACAGCGTCGGAACCAACAGCGCGAAGAGGTGTGCCGGAATCACGGCTTCGGCAAGGACCCCTGCCTCCAAATCTGAGCGCAAGTTGGGAACGCGCTCTGGTACTGTTCTTTTGTCGCCCCAAGACGGACAGAAGCCTGAGCTTAATTCCTGGGCTTGCCAGGAAGAGGTGGAAGCTTTGGAGGGTGACTTCCACTCTTGTGGGCGCGATGCAAACGGCTGTGTTCGCACGATTGATCTGAGGCAATGTTGCTTACCGATTTAGGTAGCTTGCAAGATGGTCAAATTCTACATGTCCCCAAGCAGATTGTGTTGCTGCTGCATACATGAGATGTGCTTGGCTCAATGTGCTCATGCAGCTTCCAGGCACCTCTTGAGACAGAAGTTTCCCATGCTCGCAGACAAGATGACCATGAAGGACAATCGGGCCAAGCTCAGCAACTCGGGTTGCATAGAGCGCGGCAGCGTTTCAGCATGGCGGCACGACACGCACACAAGATGCCCACAGCAATGCAAAGGCTTATGAGCCTGAGGTGAGATCCTTGCAGGCAAAGAGCCTGGAAGCCGAGTGGGGATGGATGAGTTTCTTGCACTTTGTCGCGTGTGCATTGACATTGTCGAGCTAGACAAGCTCAAACGAGAAAGGCAAGCCATTGAGCGACGAGGCTGCACTTATTTTGTCTTCAACGGGGTCGAAGCAAGTTTTAGACTGTCCACGATTCAAGTTTCACAGGCAAGGCCTGCCACCCTTTGAAGACTTTTGCAGCGGCATTGCAATTGCCAGGGAGCGGGACTTCACCCCTGCGGAAGTCCACGAGTTTCGCGGCCTCTTCATGTCTCAGGCAACCTCCTCGGGGCTTCCGGGCTCGTATCGAAACCGCAACCTGCTCGCAATGAGGAAACGACCAGCCCCGCCTAGGCCAAGATGGCCTAAACCCACCCGTGCCGGCAGTTTCCAGAGGTGTGAAGTGTACCACCGGCCTGGAAACCGAGGTCTCTCCTTCGAGGAGCTTGGCCAGTGCCTCGCTGCATTTCGAGTCTGTTTTGGGTGTTTGTTGGATCCGTAGGCGCGAACGCAGCATGGATGCGGCACGGACGTAGGGGCGCAACATGTTATCGCTGTCAGACTCGAGCTCCGCAGGTTGCTGGCCAGGGTCGTCCCACTGGGGTACAAGAATGCGCAGGCAGCTTTGGAAGCAAAAGAACCTGCCTTCAGCCTCCGCAGGTTGTGGCTTGCATAGACGAAGGGGCTAGTGGCCATGATATGATGGAGATTCCCGTTCATGAGCACAGCTGCACCCAACCGCGTGTTTAATCAGCCAGACGGCTGCGAGGTGCTCAAGCGTGAAGTCCGGCAAGTGCACAAGCACGGCCCTGGGGGCGACGATTCTCGGCATTCCTCGGGGCCCGTAGACGTGACCAGTAAGGGCCGAGCATCGAAGAGTGCGGGAGTATGCGCGGAGAGTCACACCGTTGGGGAAACCCTTGGGCCACTTGTCAGGAACCTTACCTAAGCGAAGTAAAACGGGAGAAGAGACGGTGCAAGAAGCAAAAGCAATGGAAGAGGATGGAAGGGGTTTTGCTTGGAGGGCTACCTGTGCGCAACAGACGCTTCACAAGGGCGCAAGTCGGCGCAAGTAGTTGCAGCTGAGACGGAGATACAAAAACCATCAAAAAGTTGGTACACTGGTCGACATGCCGCTGCAGAAGTAGGTGCTCCCAATCTTTCCACGCGGCGGCCAGTCTTAGTATTCCCCAGACACTTGTTCAGCGTGATAGTCCGTGAAGCTGGGCGGAAGTCCCCTGTATCAACAAACGGGAGGAACGGGGGGTGGGGGGGGGGGGGGGGTGG